GGGAGATTATATCTCGTCAACGGTTAAACGAAAAATGAAAATTTAAACGTGAAAATTTATTAAAAAAATAGCCTTATTAATTTATAATATTTTTAATATAGGTTGCCATTTAAAAACAAAAGTTGATAGTGATTTACCTAATAAATATAAGGGTGAAAAATACTAAAAATGTATATACCTAGTTTTAGAACAGCATAGATCTAAAATGTTGAAGAAAAAAAGTAAATAGTTTTTATAAATAATGAGTGTTTTAAGCCTCATGAATCACCCTGTATATTAGTTATATCTTATATAGCGACATAACTAAAGAATTAAATGCACTCGATTATGAAACGAAGAAATAAATAATGACAGTAAATTGTGGGTTAACAGCGGACACTCRTTTTACTTCAAAAATTTCAACACACAGTTAAATAAGTCTTATGCTCTTCTATAGTGTAACAAATTACAATTAAAAGCTTTTCATATTTTTTTTTTTTAATTTTAAACATATTAAGATTAATTATGATAAAAATCTACATTAGAAAAATTAGAATTATAAATAGAAACTTGTGTGCAATATGATATGATTGTGAATGTTTTGTATTCGTTAAGTCATAGGACACATTGAGACATAATTAAACGTTATTGTTTTTAATTTAACTTTTTTAAACTTGATAATGCCTTAGAAATTATAAAATTTCAGTGATCAATAATGTAATGAAACAATTTATCAAACCTGCAAAGTGCCATGTAATTATTTATTTTAGTCGAAGTCATACGATTAATAATTTTTATGCATATCGTATATAACGTGCACCGAACAGCATCGTGCAACAGCGCAGTCATGTTATATAGGTACCTACTATAATCGTTGAAATCGAATATTATTGTAACGTATATTCCTCTCGTGCGGTGCGTATTTGTATACCTATACATAGGTTACCTACGGTTTCTCATCCGCTACKCACAAATCATATAAATCCGTACGAATCGCGAATACCGCTATATTATAATACTAAATGTATATTATTCTTATCATAAATCGTATATTCATAATATGTATTGTATGTATGACGCTATTATAATATAGCCATATAGGTAGGTAAGTAGGTGCTCACATTACCCTCGGCCACGTCCAAATGCAAGAGGCATCTTGCGTAACGGCCACGATCGTTGTTGACCTTTATTTATAGCCTTTTTGCGATTCGGCATGCATTTAAACTATATGTATATTATATAATACGATATAGGTACTAATATTGAAACACATATATATATATATATATAGGTAGGCATATAATATACATATATATATATATATATGTTATTACATCGTATGATGACGAAATAAACGTATTATTTGTATATAATATAACATAATATTATGTACTCACTATACGTATAAACTACACATATTATAGCTATATGTGTATATAATATAGTATACATGYATATAGATACAAATAATAATTCRCCGCTTGTCCACCCGCCCACCATACCGGGGTGGACCGCCGCTGCTGTCGTCTCTGCACCATTTTCGTTACACCGTTATTCCCACGTATTTATGCAGCGAAGTCATTTTTATTAAAGGGCTGCACGAGTAAGCATTGTGAATAAAGATGTGCGAATTGCAAAAAAGTTGGAAAAAAATACACCTCGCAGACGTATGCCCACATGGCATACGGTATACCTGCGTGCCGGCATTATACTATACGATCGAGCGATTGCCCGAAAATAAAAAAAACCTTAACCCCTCGTCAAACAAATACATGCGCATATTTAGTCTCTGGCAGCGTTTTTAAGAAGTATATCGCCCCTCGACGTACACATGCATTACCCATTATTATATTTCCAGTCCGTATTATTATTATTATTATTATTATATATACGTAGGCCATAGGCGTTTACTATAAAAATACTCGTATACATAATATTATATTAATATTACGCATCAGGAAATAATAATAACATAATATTGCAAAGTATTATCACTCGAATAAATGTTAAACGGATATCATTAAA